TCTGAGCCCCCAAGGTCTGGAACAGCCTGCCACTGGAGGTGGTTCAAGCGCCTTCATTGAACACCTTCAAGATGAAACTGGATGCTTATCTTGCTGGGATCCTATGACCCCAGCTGACTTCCTGCCCTTTGGGCGGGGGGCTGGACTCGATGATCTTCCAAGGTCCCTTCCAGCCCTGATGTCTATGAAATCTATGAAATAACTAGACTACAGACCGGTCTGTAGAGGAGTTAGCCTCCCCTTGATACTTGGGAAGTTACTGGAGCATATCATAAAGAAGTTCATTTGCAAGTATGTGGAGAAGGAAAGGCTGATCATGAGCAGGCAACATGGATTACTATGGACATACTGGGCACTTATACACGTGCAGTAAGGCTGCTCCAATGCACTGTAATGGCAGTGCATAGGAGCTGATTCAATTATTTGAGTCTGCAGGAGAGTGGTAATTACCATGCCCCAGCAAACTCCATTGTGCCAAAAACCCTTGATTTCCTTCAATAAGGTAGTCTGATGGATGAAGGGAATGCAGTGGTATAGTGTATCTGGAATTCAGCAGACCTTTTTACAAAGTCCTACATGTCCTTATAAACAAATTGGAGAAATGTGAGCTAGACAAAACTACACAGGAATAGACAACCAGCTCAACAGCTGCAAGCAAAAGGCAATTATAAATGCATCTGGCTTGTGAGGTCTGAGTAGAGTCCGACAGATCTCTGTCCTGGGCCCAGTACTGTTCAATGTGTTTATTAATGATTTGGATGCTGGAATAGAGAGCTTCTGACACAGATTTGCATATAACACAAAACTGGGAAGGAGTGCAAACACAGGAGGACAGCAGTTAAAATTCACAAGGATATAGACACAGGAGGTTAAAGTGCCTCTTTACTTGGCACCTAGAGTGTGCCGTTTTGGGCTCCACAAATTAAAAGGGACATGGAGAAGTCAGAGAGGGTCCAGAAGTAGACATAAAAAATGATAAAAAGCTTGGAAGACAATATGAGGAGAGGCTGATGGAAACAGGCATATTCAGTTTATAGAAAAGGCACTTAAAAGGGAAATGATAATAGTTTTCAAATATCTGAAGGACCGCCATAAAGAAGAGAGAGAACACCTTTCATCTCTTGTTGCAAAGAGCAGGATGTGGACCAATGGCTTTAAGTTGTAGCAAAGTATGTTTATATTGGTTATCAGGGAAAACCTCTTCACTATTAGAACAGTGAAATAGATTACCTAGTGAAGTTCTGGAATGTCTATCACTGGAGATGTTCAAGAAGAGGTTGAATAAGCATTGGTCCAGGATGATCTAGAAGTAGGTATACTTGTGCTATACTATGAGTATTTTCTGTGCTTCTGGGTTTTGCTTGTTGCCATATGGACCAGGAAGGAATTGTATTTCCCCTCCTCTTATGATAAGTGTCAGATTATTTTTTTTCACCTTCCTCAGAAGCATTTGGTGTTGCCTGCAGCCAAGATTGGAAATTTTGAACGGTGTGCTGATGCTCCTACTGAGACTAAAACCCACAGGTTCCTAGCAAAAGGGTTTTGACCCTCCTCTCAGAGTCGAACCAAATCATATTTGGAATTAGGATGGAATTTTACCCCATGGTCAGAATAGCATGGAATGTGAGGTCAGGGTTGCCTTCCTCTGTACCAGAGGACGTAGCCCCTTCCATCTCTCAAGCATATTTTAACAATCTTTGCAGCAGCATGACACTGACCACCATTGTCCCCCTGCTTTACCTGTGGCAAGTTAGCGTGATATGGCTTGTATTTGTGCAACAGGGTTGATTATAGTTTTAGTAATAGATTAGATAAGGATTTATATGGCATAGCTTGGATAGGGACAATGCTGCCTCTGACATGAGGCAGATGACCTCCAGAGGTCCATTCCAACCCTATTTTCTATGGTTCTATGATTATAAATATTTTCTAAACTCCTTTTTCTTTTCCTCCATATTGTGTCCTTTCATAACTTCTGAAACTTCATTCTGTTTAATATTTTCAAAGTCTTCACTCTTCATATTAACCCCACAGTAAAACTGCACTGCATCCACCTTGGCTATATCTCAGCTTGACTACAGTTACTTTCTCCTCCTCAGTAATCTCAGTTTTTATTTCATCTTTCATTAGTACCTCCAAAATTCTGCTGCTACCTAATCTACTTAGAAATGTAGACATATTCCTCATCATTAGCTCTGAGTACCTGTAAAAGTTACCTTCTCCTCTAGCTAATTTTCAGTCCTTCTTGAACCATTTTATTTGCTTCCTGCATTTCACTGCATTAAATTTAAAATACTTCTCCTCTTCTTAGGTGTTCTCATTATTTCCATTTACCTTGAATATGCTCTTCATGTTTCTCACAGACCTCTTATTATTATTATTATTTCTTAGAAATCATAGAAATTAGGGTTGGAAGGGACCTCAGGAGGTCATCATCCCAGCCAAAGCTTTGTCTAGCTTGGTCTCAAAAGCATCCAAGGATGGAGAATCCATCACCTCTCTGGGTAACCTGTTCTAGTGTTTTACTACCCTTCTAGTTGGAAACAATTCCTAATATCTAACCTCAACTTCCCTTGCTGCAACTTGAGACTGTTGCTCTTTGCTCTGCCATGTGCCACCACTGAAAACAGTCTAGCTCCCTGCACTTTCGAACCCATTTTAAGATCACTTGCCCACACCCAGACTTGAAATGCCAGCCATTTTGTTCCAAACTCATGACACAGGTCCTTCAGCCACAGAAGAGGCCTTTTTTATCTTCTTCTACACATCCAATTCATCTAGGTTGCTGCGTATGTCTAAACTGATACATCTAGAACTTCCTCGTCCAAATAGAATGCCTACTTCTAGTAATCTACTCAAACTTGTTCTTCTTCCAACAATCATCCATCTTTTCTTGACCTGTTATTTGTCTTGCTTACCTTTAATTTATCTTGTTTACCTGACACTGGATATGGCTTCCACTGAAATGTGCAAACACTTATTAACATACACACGGGTAAGCAATCTTGCTGGAGTACAATAATAGTATATATTTGCCTTATTGTTGTTGTTTTAGAATTGTTAGTGGGACCAAACATTCAAAAACCAGAAAGCTATGGAAGCTATAATTTAGAACAGTGAGAAATACTAAAATATATTTCAAACTATGCCAAGACAGACAGGGGGAATGAGTATGTAAGAATTCTGGTTAAATATCCAGAAAGAAAAAGAAATAAGGGAAAGTAGGAAGAAAGAATTAAAATATTAAAGATGATATAAATCGATCCTTCCACCAGGGATGTAAATAGAAATAAAATATAGATCAAAACAACATGGAATAAAACAGACTGAAGTTATCTAAAACTGATTTTACTATTTCTATGTTTAACTCTAACTTTTGGCACATTCTCATCTCAATTTACAAGATTTATGCTTGTGACTCCCTGAGTATTGAGACGAGAATACACACCAGAATACATCATACCCAAACATGGCTAATGCTTGTGAACACAAAACCATATTAGAAGATTACAAACAACTAGCCCTTCCATCCCTGATCCTGCCTCCAAAGCAAAGTGATACAACTGTACTTAGATTTTTACAGGATCAGGGCATTGCTAAGCAAATTTATAGGGGAGTGGACCTCCACAGATGTAGTGGAAATGAGGTCTACAAGATAGCAGGGGAAAAGGCAAAAGGCTTGCACCAGATCTACATGTACAATTACATGCATCTGTGCTTCCAAGCAAGGTTATTTTCACCTATGTTTTCATTGAGAATACTTTCATAATGCTGTGTTAGGTAAGGGAAAAAATATTCCCTTTCAGCAATATACACTGAGGACCATGTTCAAGTGAGTTCATGGGTTGACCCAGAAGCATGATATAAATGTGTATCACAGAAGACTTCATGGATAAATTCATAATGGTGAAGTAGGAACTCAGAGGAATGGAATCTTACTGATAAGTATTTCATAACATTACAGACTGTAATGTATATTTCAGATCCCACCTGCCAGAGTTGCTTATATATCATACATACGTCAATTACTTTAATACTCATGGCAACCCTAGAAATAAAAATTAGAATTGATGTGCTATGAATTTGTTTCCAGCTGCAGTGCTGCCTGCTGCTGTTATTTTATTGTAATAAACTTAAGATGAAAAAATCTAAAGTATTGCAAGGTTTCAAACATTACCACAGTTTAGTTTGTTAAGCATTTTAATTGATGTAAATGGAGATAAGCTTCATGCAAGATAACTGTATATGGACTGATTAGTCAATGACAGTGTTACTAATTATTACATTGTACTTTGTACAAAAAGTTTGTAAACAAGTAATTTGAAATAGGCTTTTCTAAGTAAAATATTTTATACGTAAGGCAGTTACTCAGAGATATTTATTTTTAGAAACAAAGCAAATGATTTGAAAAATAGAGAAAGCAGTTTAACAGCATGGACAGCTAGATGTCTGTTTGAAATAGTAATAGAATAAGAAATTTGCTTAGTCACCAGTTCAAAAGTGGCCTAAATTGATTTGTGACCAAATACTGTTATCATCTGATGGCAATTGTGTGGCCTTTGTAAAATGAGCTGCTTCTCAATGACCATTGGACAAGATTCCTAATCACAAAAGTAGTACCACTTTTGGTGCCAATCTGTATCTTTGTTGCCAGTTCTAGCAGAGAGGCCAAGGACATGAGGTCTGAACTACTCTTACTCCTATATGTAGTCTCTCCAGGTCAAGGCTGAGGCACATTGGTGGGGCAATGTGGGGAAGTTTGCACTGCTGCTGTACATGCTGTAGGTGCTCTATAAATAGAGGACTTTACTCTCTGGGGATGTCAATTTGGCACCTTCCATGAGCATGAAAATCACATTTTAAAAACCCTATAAAATGTTATACAAAAATGTAGTACTGCTAATAGAGTGGATTTATTTGTGAGACCCACCGTTCCAATTTGCTCTCACTTTCTTTTATATTCTCTAGTTTTAATTGTGATAAGAATAAAAGTTATGGACCTCTTTTGGTGTTTCTTGATGACAGTGATTGCTATTCCACCACAACTCCAGTGCTGCCACCAAGCATGCAAGAAGAAGGCCTACTGCTAAAATGCAGAAGACTCCTGCAAAACTGTGAAGCTTCAGTGCCTTCCCATCTGTTTGTGCATTGGTATGACTGTTCAGGTCACAGCGTCCCATTCGTGGCCACCATTTCTGTTTGAGAACATCCAAATCTCCACTCTCTTGTAATTCTAAGATCCTGTAGAAAATATGAAACACAAATATTATTTCGAGGGCTTTCGGTGACCTGTGTGTCTATTAACATCTCTGCAGTCATGGAATTCTAAAACACCAATGACCATCTTCAGAGTTTCTGTGTTATTCAATAGCCTTCTGTCTTCAAGACAGAAATTCTCCAGCTGAACAGGTAGAGTTCTCCAATTCGAGGACCTCATCACTCTATCTATGTCTACATTCAATGAAATATGCTTTCTGATTGAAAAAAAACAACCCCTCTTATTCATTTTCTGTGAGCATGAGCACAATTGGAAGAGGACCACTTTTAGAAGCATAACTTTCCATAAGGAACAGAACTGACCACTTTAAGAGAAATATATGTGTTCCTAAAAATGAGGAAGAGTTTTAGGAGCAGTTACTCAGTAGTATCTCACTGCAGCAGCAAGCCTTCAATGGTCAGCTTTGAAAACAAAATGATTTTCAAAACTGCCTTAAGTAAAGGCCACCCCACATAAATGTGACCCACTATTGCTCTGATTTACAAGACATTGCATTAGTTAATTAGTGCATCGGACCCCGTTCATGAAATATACTATTTGCATTGATATGGTCCTGCAGTTCTGTGCACTGTTACTATTCCTTCACAGTACTGACTACAAAACTGCTTAAGCAACTATAGGTTCATTTACTTCTGCTTTGCACTATAGCAAATGCTGCTCATTTAGAAAGATTTTACTATAATTATGTTATTTTATGCTCAGATTACTATGTTAACAATTGCTAATTAATCATTGTTTCCCCTTTGTGAAGTGCCCCATCCCTCCATGAATGATTCATTTTGGATCTGGGTTTACTGTTTCCTAACAACCTTTCCTTGGGAGAGCTTTCTGTCTGGTTTAGCATGAAAATCTAAGCTCAACAGAACTGGTGGTTTACCACTTCTAATAAAAAACTCATTTAATAATAATCCACATGGACAGCCAGCCTGCCTTAGGCTCCTGCTTGTAGCTGTGTACTCAGCCACTTTCTAAGACTATGTATTGTGCACATTTGGGAAAATATATATCTATATTTTAAATGGCTCTGATAGACTACTAGCTACTGGGATCACTGAACTTGATAGACACAGAAGAACAATACCCTTACTGAACTTATATAATCACTGAGTAACTATCATTCACCTAATGTACTATGATGCATAACAAGCATTATTGTGTTTCTGACTTGTATGCCCTCCAGTCTAAAGTCTGAACTGTTTTATCATAAGCCCCACATCAGGGACACCGTATTGTTTCATGGCATCCGGAGCAGCCTGGAAAATAGATTGTCACTGAGAAAAACTCAGTCACTCTCCCAATTTGCCCAGTATTCTGGAGACTATAACCAGCACTGACACTAATGGACAGTATACATAATGCCAGGAGTGTTGGGAGCACAGCCAAATCTCCACTAATTTTTGACCCCCTCCTACTCACTCCCTGAGAACATACACAGGAGAGGCAGCAATTGCTGGGTTGAGAATGTTCCCTGTTCTCTGATTTAGTCTATTATGGAAAAAAAAATTAAGGGGGAAAAAAAAATTCTTAAATGGCAGATATTCACTTTAGAAACAGGCATTGCTAAAGTTCACCTCAACTGAGTGTGAGATTTGTTGATTGCTTCAGAGAAGAATAATGTGGAACAAGGATGGCTTTGTTTTACCTTTGGGAAAAGAGATCTCTGTAGGGGCTGCCATGCTGAAGTGCTATCCCATAGCCTTTGCTACTGATGCTGTTTCCGATGACGGTCACAGAACAGTCATCATCTGTCAGAGCTGCATACTCCACCACTGTTACATCCCACAAAAAAGCATAGTTGCCTTTCTTTGCCTATAAATGAATCATAAATAAAGCTCAGTGTATACAGTAGGTCTATGACTTAAGATAGTCTCAAAGAAGTGTTGAGATTTCCATTACCCAGGAATGGCATTTCATTAGTTTGTAACAAAATGTAGCCTACAACACCTTAGGATTGTTCTAATGTTCCTGGCATTGCTTCCTTTACTTCACATCCATCTCAGAAATCTCCCACTTTTAAATGAGACACCATAGGGTAGTAGCCTTGCTTCACGACTTTTTGTGTATGACAAGGTCAAGGGTAAGCCTTGGATTAGTGTTTAAATAATAGATAATGATAACAATTAATAATTAATCAAAGCCATCACCTTAAGTGATAGTACTAGATGTTAGTTTCCCTAAGGAACACTGATTAGTAAGCATATTTTAATTTGATCAGTTCTCCACATTTACATAGCCTGGCAGATACAAATACTAAATGGTATTTTCTGTCAGTCACAAAACAACAGCATCACAGTTCTCCCCAAATTAATAAATAAATAAAGCAAGCCAGGGAAAAGAACTACTCTAGTGCTGCAATGTTAGGCAGGAAAGGAAGAGGCACCAAAGTCTCCCACTTGTTCTATTTGGGACCAATATTGATTTATTCTAGTATATACCCAGGCAGCTGTTCTGAAATGTCAGTCTTAATTGGGATTCAAACCGGTGCCTGTGTGCAGCACACCAGATGAATATAAATCACCTTACTTATCATAAGATGTAAGAAACATCTCTGGATGGGAATTCAATAAAAAGCCACCACTCTGCTTGGTTAAAGTAATCATTGGTTTCCTAACGTATTTAAGTAATATGTTTTTAAGTCTCTAGTGAACATACACAGTACAGTGGAACAGATGGGCTGGAGAATCTAATGCAAATGAGTAATCATAGATCCAGTCTTCGAAGACTTTTTTGTCATTTGTGTTTATCATCAGTTAAGACAGACAAGGCAAGAAGCTGAACTTCTGTATGCCATCATACGTTTGTTTAAAAAGTTATCCTCAAGCTCAGTCAAAACAATAGCCTCAGTTCTGATGCAGAATTAGCCATTTCTTCAGGTTGTTTTCATTCTCCATTTATGTTCTGTTTTGGATTGAACTAAGATTCTATAAGACTCCCTCAGATATTGCATGGTATCATTTGCTACCTGCTGGAGACTCTCACAGATATTTAAACACATGTCACTTCAGCATCTGACTATATCTGACTATCTGACCCAGCACTCTGAACTTGACAGGTGTCCAAACATGACAATCATCCAAAAATGTGTGAGTGGTCCTCCCACAGATAGTACCCAAGCAAGAAAAGAAAAGAAAAGAAAAGAAAAGAAAAGAAAAGAAAGTTCTTATTTGGACTCACAGTGACCCAAGTCCTAGAATGTCCAACCTTTTCGGTGCCAAGGTAAACAAAATACCCTGAAGCCCCCTTGCTTCTGGATTAAACACAAAAAAGTTGTTGGTTACTTGCTATATTTTGCAGAAAGCTGAGAAGGAATCCCAATGCCCCAAAGCCCAGGCAAACATAAGTAATTTCTATTACATGTCTGAGACATTTTCAGATGACTGTTGCTATATTAGTACAAAACTTTATAGTCTGAAATACAGCACAGGCCCTACAGAAAAACTTAGATACGGGTCTTCATTGAAAGAAAACCAAATCCTGTTGCCAAAATCAAAAATGAAATATTAAACAATGTATCATATGTATTAAAAAAAAAAAAAACAGTCTGAGAAAACTAGTTCTTTTTAGGCATCCCACTGCCATACCAAAACCTCAGCATCCTCAATATATTACCATGGCTGACACTTCATGCACATCTGCCTGAATTGGGAAGGCAAAAAGGGGAATTTTGGGGCAAATGGAGAATAGATGGGGAATAAATATTTACTCCATGTGATATCCAGGAAAGCCATCATCATCTTTTTACAATAAGACAGTTACAAGCACAATAAACAAAGCACTGCAAAGTATGGGTTACCTGAGGCAAGCAGGACTTAAAATCAGTTGGCAACATATACTGATGGAAATACAAATGTAGTTTTGCAAATGGGTACTGATCTATCACTCATAGCCAAGTACTATTAGCAATAAGTCTGTCTGTCTGCTGGTTTCTGCCCAATCTCTGGTACTGGTTGTGTCTGTGGTATATGTAATGGACCTTTAAGGGGCCAGAAGTACGATGACCCAGCCTCTCCACACAATGCCCTGAGGGTGTGGTTTTGTTGGTGGTGGGTTGTTGTTGTTCTCCCTGCAAGCTGAGAGAGAGAGTTGCTGAATCATGTTCCTAAAAAAGATAAAACTGTTTACCACCCTCTGGTCTCGGCTGAATGCTGACTTGAGGACAGAACCCCAAAGGTATGGAGGTCTAAGTGAGTACCCATCCCTGGAACCCTATGCCACAGAGCAAGCACTATATGGTGTCAGAAGTAGCCTGTCTCTCGATGGAGTCACCAACAGCCTGAGTAAGGGGGTTACAGTTGTCATTCCAAAAAAGACAAAAAAAATGGAGCATTTCAAACCTCCACCAGCATTGTCCTTCACTGGAAATCTTGGGGAGAATTGGAGATGAAAACAGAAACTTTGATTATACTTTGCATTCACAAAGGCTGAGAAAGAGGCAGAGTATTATAAAATTGCAGTCATGCTTCACTGTATTAGGGATAAGACCCTAGAAATTTACAACACACAAGGTGTGTTTGCAGACCCGAAAAACAACAACAACTTATGGAGGTGCTTGCAACATTCAAGAACTACTGCGAACCCAGAAAAAAACACTTCGAAAGATATCAGTTCTGGCAACTTAGATACAATGCAGCTGCAGGCATAGATGATTTTGTTACACAGCTTAGAAGTAGAAGAGTCCATGAAACGGCCCTGACAATACAAAGAACCAAGGTAGACCTTCTCAAACTATATCCCAAAGTTTTCAAATGCTTGGGACAATTTCCCGGTACCCACCACATCTATATCAACCTGGTGGTACCACCGGTTGCACGTGGGTTTAGAAAAATTCCCTTTGCAACCCTAAACAAATTGAAGACCACCCTCGCAATGCTGGAAGATATGAGAATCATTATGAAAGTAACTAAGCCCACACCCTGGGTCAATAGCCTGGTAGATCACACATAAGAAGGATGGTTAGCTACAACTTTGCCTAGACCCACGAGACCTCAACAAGGCAGTGTTGAGGAAGCACTTTTCAATCCTCACTGGAGAGGATGTTCAAAAGAACTTGTCAGATAAAAAACTGTTCACCATTCTTGATGAAAAGGATGGCTACTGGCAAGTCAAATTGGACATGGAATCAGCAGAGCTGTGTACCTTTAACACTCCATGGGGACAGTACCAATTCAATCACCTTCCTTTGGTATTAAGTTGGCTAGTGAAGTATTCCAACAGAAGAATCATGAGTACTTTGGTGACATTCCAGGACTCCACATAATCATGGATGACATGTTCATTGCAGCAGCTACCAAAGAGGAGCATGATACTATCCTGAAACAAGTCCTGGAGAGAACACGTCTGAAAGGAGTAAAGTTTAATAAGGACAAAATACAGTTTTTAGTTGACAGCTTTAGGTACATGGCTGTATCTTCTCAAAAGATGGTGTCAAACCAGATGATGACAAAATGGAAGCCATCAACAGGATGCCCCTCCAACAGACAAAAAAGGCCTTCAGAGACTCTCAGAACGATTCAGTACTTGGACCGACATGTCCAAAGATGGCTTAGAAGCATGTCTGTTTCAGCAGAATCAACCAAATGCATATGCTTTGAGGGCTCTAACACAATCTGAGATAAATTATGCACAGATTGAAAAAGAACTTCTGGTAATTGTCTTCCCCATGATGAAGTTCCACCAATATGTATATGGTGCCCAGGTAAGGGTCCAGTCAGACCACAAACCCCTGGAAGTGATCTTCACAAAGCCCATAGGAGAGGCTCCAGCACAGCTACAGAGGATGCTGTTGTAATGCCAGAAATATGACATCCAGATTCTCTATACCAAAGGCAAAGACATGTTAGTGGCTAACATGCTTTCTAGAGCCACAATGTTTGCTCCTCCCCCCTGACCCTGATCTTTTCCACTCAGAAAAGGTGATTCACAGTCTGACTGAAACACAGCCGCTCAGTGACCAGTTGCTCCAGCAGATACAGGATCACACGAATTCTGACATGGAACTACAAGTCCTCAAGAGTTCAGCATCTTAATGGGTGGCCAAGCAGGCAAGAACAAGTTAGACCTAATGTGAAGCCTTACTGGCCTCTCAGAGACCAAATCCAGATTCAGGATGATTTGCTCATGACTGGGCTGAAGATAATCATTCCACGTAGTGCAAGGACCAACATGTTGACATTGCTTCACTTGCCCCATCAAAGCAAAGAAAAGTTGAAAGCGCAAGCTCGACAAATCATGTATTGGCCCAAGATGAATGACCACATTAAGCAATGGATTGCAGATTGCACCCTGTAAGACGGTGTCATCCTCATCGGGTCTTCGCCGGCTGCCCTGCTCCTGGGGTAACCACCCACTTCACTTGTCTGCCATGCCTTGATTGAAAAATATGAGAGTTGTTACTAAGATGGGAGGCTACCCATTTCTCATGCTGCTGATGAGGGCCTAATACCTACTCCGACTGCCCCTACCCAGGTCCCATGCCTCGAAGATGTTTCTCTGGTCTTACTTCTCTGGCCTATGGCCGTAGCAAACTGGGCACACAGTTGTAGCTCTTTTCTACAGCCTCAGAGGGCCACTCACATGCTACCCCTTTCTCACCAGGGTCCCACTCACTCTGCTGGCTCTCACCGAGCCTCTTTCATACTGCCCTCTCTTAGGGGCCCCACCCATGCCGCCTGGCCTCATGCAGCTTTGGGCTTAGCTCTCCTCACCTTGGTAAGCCCCGGTGCAGTCTGCTGAGTATCTCCCACTACCCTCACCTGAGCGTTGACTGAACAGTTGTACAACTGTAGGCCTATTTCACTCCTAGCCCCTCA